GCGACCACGAGGAAGATCACCTAAGAGATGGGTTGATCAAACTAAAGACCTAATCGGCCAAGGCCTTCATGAAACCGTCAGCATGGCTCAAAACAGAGCGGACTGGCACAATACGATAAAAACCGCTACAGGAACATCATAGTCACTAATCCCTCTTCAGGGAAACGGACCAAAGAGAGATATCATTTTTAAAATACAAACCAAAAATACGAGGAATAATTATGTTTTCCATGTATTCTACAACATACTTATTAATCCGTAATATCTAACTAGTGTGACGTCATAAATTTCGCTCCGAGGCTGTTCTATTAGAGGCGGCATTGCTTCAGCATGGCCGCAAGTTGCTAACCTAATAAAATTAACACTAGAAAAGACCGCGGGAACTGTCAAATTCAAAGTTATTCGTTTCACAGACTATATCAGTTCTATAATATTTCCATTAAGTTCCTATTGCAACTATTACTGCGACACTTCAGAAATTGGCTATTCTGTATACGGGTGTCCCATTTTTGTATGTTTTACAGGGTTTCTCGTTTATGAGTAGAGATACAAAGATGCGATTTTCACATTACTATGCACAAATTTGTCGTAGCTTTCTTAGTTCCTAAAATAAAGAGAGAATTTGAAAATTTTGCATTTTTTCTAGAATGCTATAGAGATTTCACTTAGAATCCAATGGTGTAACTATTTTTTCACAGCGTGCTGTCTTTAGTTATTTTTTTAAATAAGACACCCTATCTGTGTGTATATTTTTTTATTTTCTTTGCCTTGTTTTGATCTTTCTAAGAATATAATATTCTGAAAGCTCATAACAAGACAAATAAAAAAATAATACATATGATTTCCCCATTTAAAAAAAATACAGGGTGTCCCAGAAATAAGTGCAAGTATTTTAACTGGTAGTATAGTTCAACCCCAGAAACACGCCTATGAGGTTTTTTTCGCGAAAAAAAATTGAAAATTCGAAATTTTTTTAGTTTTTAGTTAAAAAACATAATTTCGTGATAATACGGCAATATAGGTATTAGATTAAATTTACAAGAAAGAAAATCCAGAAAAGATCCAGTGGCTCTCAAAATTTTAGCAAAAAATCATTTTTTTTTTGGTTAGGTTAGTTAAATTTTAGCACAAAATCATTTTTTTGGACGGTCAAATAACTCCCTTATTTTGGACTTATAAACGATAAAGAGACAATATGTTTCTTTTATCGAGATCTACCACCCCTTAAAATACTTGCACTTATTTCTGGGACACCCTGTATATAAGTTTGACTCATATTTCGAAAATGACAGTTACGCTACTGGATTATACATGAAAGAACTCTATGGGACTCAGTTTTTACCCTGTCGATAAGTTATAAGATACGAAAGGGGTCGAAAAATGCAAAACATTTCAAATTTGCCCTGTATTTCAGGAATTTATAGGGCTAAGGTGAATCTGTGAGTAGAATCCTTAGATTCATAAAAAAAGTAGTACCTGTGGTAGTACTGTGATGTTGAAACCACATGCTTTTACGTCTATTCATAAACGAGGAACACTGCATACCACACGAAAATGGGACACCCTGAACATTCCGACTTGAGACAGACTTGAATAAAAAAACAGGGGCTGGTCACAATGGGAGACCAGCCGAACGTGATATTTAATAGAAAAGCAGAACAGTCCATATCTAAGAAGTATCAAATCCTCCATTAACGATCGCAATCTTATTATTAGGGTGAACGTATGGAAGTAATAGGGTCCGGAGGTCCCCTTTTTCGTCTGGTCTGAAATCAGAAGGGAACATAAAATAACATTAGTTAGTGTGTGGAAGGAATACGGTTTTTATTATAGTATAACACGTTTTCTTAAAAAATCTTAGACCATTCTTCATCCATCATTCCCTTATTTAATAATATAATAAAGAATTGGAAATTCTTCCATTCTTCACTAGTATTATTATTTTACTTCTGTTATAATGGTAATGTATTTAATTATATATAATGAAACACTGGACTTTAGAGAGAATCTATTGAGACAGTTTTCTCATTGATCTTTATTTACATATATTACACAAAATTTACTTTAACCAACAAAAATACTTGACATTCCACAATGGGTACCTCCACACCTTCGTCATCGGAAGAGAAAATGCATAAAACCGTTGATTGAAAGAATTGGGAAGATACGCAACCTAATGGGCAGAAATTCGTAACAAGGCTGATTTGATTTCCACTATTGTCTCAAGTGCTGTTTGCTGGAGCTACCAATGGTTCTGCGACCAACGCTTAAAACATTTATTTTCTTTAGTTTGACCAGAGAAGGCATATCGAAGAAGGTGTGGAACTGAAAGCGACATCGACAGTATTGCCCCACATATTATTATATTATATATCCGGTTTTATAGCGTTCCTTCCGGTTCCCAGTCTCTATTGCCTTCGATCTTCCCAATCTCCTGGGAGTAAATTTCTTTCGGACACGGCTCGGTTAATGCCCTCAATCCAGGTAGCTTTAGGTCTTCCTTTCTTTCTTCTTTCCGCCGGTGTCCATTTTAGGATTTGTTTTGGTAGACGTTCGTCA